AGCCGCCCGCTGCCTCCCCGCTGCCTCGGCACGGCGGCGGGGGGCGGCTGGGGGGGGCCAAAAAACCCGGGTTTTCCCCCCGGGGGGGGGCGCCCGCCCGGCGGGCTGCCAGCGGGCGTGGGTGGCCACGAGTGACACCCCGGGAGCGGGGACGGCTCTGACAGCCTGAATTCAGAGAGGGGAGACTGTGGAGCCCTGCTGCCGTCTGGGCTTCCCCGGTCTGAGCCGCTCTGCCGAGTCCCAAACCCAAACTCCACTGTTGGCGGTTAGATGTGCGGCTCTTCGGACTTCGAAGCCACGCCGGAAAGGTTGAGTCCTTCAGACACTAGTTCGGAGGAGCACCCGAGCCCCTCGCTGTGCACCATGGTAAAGGCAATTTATAAATACAGTGTATAATTTATACATACGTAATCTAATAGGGCACCTAACCACCATAGATTGTATGCAGTACATCTGTTGCAACTGTCTAATTTGAGCTCTGTTTGATGGTATATGATACTTGCTTATAAAAATTGTCACAGCAAGGGTTGCCGAAGTTCAGATAGCTTCCCCGCCTTGAGGCATCCTGGTACTGAGTTTTGTCATTTAATACTGTTAAGTGCTTAGCATTTATTGAGCACTTTCAACTTGTTTATATTAAGGGCACAGATTCAGGCCTTTTAGGTTTCATCAGGATAATATTGTAAACTTTAATCTTTACATGCCTACATATACTCGGAGATCTCAGGCCTTTTTCAGAAGAGGCAGCTATTAACACTATTTTTCAAAGCTAGGCAATGTGCTCACTGAGTCCAAACCTGGGAGCAAAGGCTGAGGAAAGGAAAGAAATATATACTAACAATAATAACAATAAATGCAAAACCTCAGAGATGACCCATATAAAAATAAAAAGGAAATCCAAACCAGATCTTTTTCCTCTTTCAGTGTCATTTATATTAAATGCCCCGGGGGGGGGGGGGTTAGTTATAAATGGCAAAAGCAAAATTACATATTCCTGTAACTGCTATTGTTTGGAAAAAAACAACAAACAAAGCCAACATTTATGGTTGTTTATAATGAGCAAGATGTACGTCAGATGGGGTCGTACCCAGAGCCCTGGGAGCTGCACTTGGAGGCGTACAATTTGCCAGGCCAGCTACTGTCTAAGCACGGATGGGGGGAATTAAAGAGCTCTCACCAGCTCCAGAGTTGGAAGAAGCAAGGGCATATATATTTATTTAAAGGATCCAGATCAGATAATAACTGGATTAAGAAGGAAAGAAAGAAGGAAAGAAGCCTCTTCCCCTGCTCACGCAGTTTATCTGCCAGGAGCACTTTGCTGCTTCCCTGCAGCCATCCCTGAAACCTGATGCCAGGAACAGGCTCCTCTCCCGCTGTGCTGCTGGGAATATCCCAGTTCCCAGGGCCACAGAGGTGGGGAGTGACAAGGAAAAAAATCCCTTTCTAAAATTCAGGATAAAAATAGCACCTCAAAGAAAATGACCTTTGTTGGGACACGAGGGCGAGATCCTGGCTTTGAGAGCCTGCGCTGGTCAGTCCGGACGTTTGATTCCCTCGATACCCCGTTAACCTCCCTGCAGCAACTATTGAAGGCAGCAGGACCGCGGTCCAGCCTACGCTCCCTGCCAGGCCCAGGTTCCCACCATTGCACAGGAGCGGAGGATCGGCCGACCCCTCCTTCCCTTCTCCCAGCTTCCCGGAGCCCCCGGGAATTTGAGGACATTTCTTCTCAGAGGTAGCACGCCCGCCCCCATCTCGTGATAGCATCAGAAAAATGAATGAGAAGCAACTGCTGACTAGTTACCTTATTATTTTATGGAGTTGAAGCTGTGAATGAAAAGCCACCTGAGAAAACTGGATTGGGTCTGAAGAGTTCACCTAGCTGATATCCAAACAATCTACGGGCCTTCGGCAGAGCAATTATTGCATGCCAGCTCCCTGGGAGGAATCAAAGGGATGTCTGAGCATGCAGTATTTATGAGACTGTAACATCTTCTCTTGTCTCTGTGGAGTGAAATACGTTTTGGAAACACAGTTTAAGCTAAATCAACTTCGTAATAAAAAATAGAAATACACTTGGTGAAATCGTTATGCTAACTCGGTAAGTGGTTAAGCCTTGTAGCGAAAGTTGTGTGGTTTTTTG